ATGTTCCAACCTATCTTGTTACCTAGGCAAGCTTGCTGTTGTGGTAGATAGCTACAACACTGGTAGCCAATTGTATAATAAACCATCTAAAGATCTATTAACTAAAAAAAAAAGTCAGTTCTTTATAAGGTTAAAGAAGGTCAACATATACACACAAATAGGTTACAAAGGTAATAGAATTTTAAATTTCAAAAGGTAATAAATAGAAGCCTCTGTAACAAGCTAGCTCTATGGATGTCTCTGTATAGCAACTAGGCATCTGTGGCTGGCCTGTGCCAGCCTCCGGGCTCATGGGTCTTGGGCTGCAGGGCAATTTCATTGCTGGGTTGACTTGGCTCCGGCTAGAGCCCATGTTGTGGGACTCTCCCATCACAGTGCAAGGTGCTAGAGCTGAGCTCCAGTCCAGATGTCTCTACGGCAAAGAAACAGTCCTGCAGTTGGCCTCCTCTTCATGGAGTAGGGACAGCCATGTCTCTCATTATTTGCCCTCTGCTCAATAATGGTGTATCTGGTGTTGATGGGCCTTTTTTTGTTGGGTGGTACAATCGTTTAATGTTTCTCTCCTGGTGACTGACAAAGCAAACACTCAAATAATACCATATAACATGGAATACAGATATTATAAGTGAGATTAATGCCTGCAGCAACTTACAAGTGTTCCTTAAACTCTAAACACTGAGCACGTTTTTGTAACTAATGCCTGTTTTAACAATAATAATATAGTTATAGAAATGTAGCCATGTTAGTCTGGTGTAGCTGAAGCAAATAATGAGCCAGGCTGGTTCCAACTATGAATTTATCAGTGGTTGAGACGGAGGGGCCTTGTCATGAGCTGGCACAAGGTCTACCAGCTTCCCAGGGCTCTCTGGGCTTCTTCTGTTGAAATTGTGCTTTCGATAGTGAAAGAGTAAGGGACTACTTGAATTTCAGGATGATTGTTAGATAATTGTGGCTGAGTTGTGAACAAGACATGGAAAATCATAAAAAAATAATAGTGGCCCGTTATTAATTGTGGTAATTTGGAAAAGTAAGCTGTGTGTCGGGCTGACAGTGGGAGCTCTGGCTACATGCAGGGCTGACTATTAAAAGGTAATGTAAGTACACTTGAATGTAGCATCAAAACAGTTCATGTTGAAAGACACTCCACACTGTTCACCAGAAACTTCTGTCTAGCTAAATGGAGGCATTTGTCTACATGAACACAATAGAAAGTTATCACCAGAATCAGCAGCTATCCCTGATATTTTAGATTATCTCCTGATCCTCAAGACATCAGGACTTTGTATTAGTATTGCTAGGTCGTGGGTCTTCTAGGTCAGTGCTTTCTACTCTCCAATCCTTATTAGGACCTTCCCACCATTGGTGAGATCTATACTTCAATGGGACCTAAATCTGGTACTTTCAGTTCTTACCAGACCACCCTTCAAACCGTTGGCCATGTGCTCTGTGTTGTACCTGACCATGAAGGTGGCTTTCTTGGTCGCTATCAGATTGCCAGACAAGTGAGTGAACTGGGAGCATTCATTGCTGACATCATATGTACCAATTTATTACTTACAGTTATTCTTCCCAAAATCTCATGCTTCCAGTGAGGAAAAGAGACTGCACTGCTTTGATGTCAGACAGACATTGGCCTTTTATGTGCAAAAAACAAAAGTGATTAGGAAAACACAAGCTCCGTGGTTCCTAATCTTTTTTATGCCACGGACCAGCAAGCTCATTCAAAACATATGGTGGACTGGCACAGAAACATTCGCATATTCATTAAGGTAATTAATGTATGTGTGTATTTGCATATTCATCAAGGAAATTAATTTTAAGCAGTCACATATTTTACATTGCATTTATACACACAAAATGCATGTCATTCATTGGCCTTAAAATGTGCGCTAATTCCTATGCATTTAGTAGTTCATTTTTTAATAAATATTGGCTTAGATTTTATTTTTGCTATTGTTTTATCAATGAATACAGAGTTATGCAGTAGGAAAGCTGTGCCGAACAAATAGTGGAATATGCCTTCCCCAAATAATGTGAAGTCTAAAGGCATAAAAACATACAGTGGCTAGTCATCTCCAGTTTACCTCCCTTAATTGGAGCTGGAGTGACAGAGGGCTGGCTCAGCAATTCCTGGTCAGCTTCTTGTCACAGAATTATCCCATACTAAATTTACTTCAAGCCTTGGGCAGCCACATGTATTTGCTAATGGCAGATGGCACACCCATACCCTGGCATCGCCCCATTCTCAGCACTTTGGAATCAAAATGGAGACCAAAAAGTAAAAATAATAATAATAATTCTTTTCCTAGAAACTCACACATTTTCAGAGAGATGTGCCAATGCACTTATATTGCTTTCCCTTTTTAAATTTCTATGGCATGCTATGCCATGCTTGGCCCTGGCAGCTGGAACAGCCGCCCTCTGCACACTGTGCAGTGCTTGGCTCTGGCGGCGTGAGCAGCCACCCTCTGAGCACCATGCAGCACTTGGCCCTGGTGGACTGTGCAGTCGGCCTCCATGTGGCACGCGGCACTTGGCCCCAGTGGCTGGAGCAGCTGCCCTCTGCACATTGTGCGATGCTTGGCCCCAGCAGCCCAGCCACCAAGCACCACAGCCACCTATCATGCGGCCCTGCCAGCTGGGCCGCTTAGTGGCCACTGGAGCTGGAACCAGGGCCATGGTGAGGCTGCCCCAGTAGGGACAGCTTCACTGCGACCCAGCTCCAGCCTCAGCACACCTAGCTGCCCAACATGCCACTCACCCTGCTGATGGGGCTCATTAGGAGCTGTGGGCGTGGCCTGGCAGAGAGCCATGGCCCGCCAGGCAGAGGTTCGTAGACTAGTGGTTAGGAACCACTGGCCCACTTTAAAAGAGCACAAAAAACCTCAACTGCATCTCTTTGAGAAGCACCGATGTTGGACACTTGTAAGGCAGCTTTCCGGAGCTCCATCTGTACCTTTCTGAAGCAAGATATCTTAGTCCAGGATTCCAAGAAAAATGAGAGATTATTTACCCAGAGGTTTTCTGTGATGTGTGGTCCCTATCTGTATTCTGATACTCATCCTCCTTCCCCTGTGATTTGTATCTTGTGTGATTCATGGAAGAAGGAAGAATGGAGAAATGTCTACCCACATTGTTATTTATGCCTTCTCTTCAGAGCACAAGGTGGGCAATTGTACAGGTAAAGACCAACAGATATTACTTGCTACAAATCTTAAGTCTCACAAATATGGGGTGGGATTCAAATAGAAACTGTAAATCTTGAAGAACCTGTAGGCACAGGGAAGTAACCTCCTTTTATGTTACATTGTTTAGGGTTACTACAGAACAATAAGAATCAAAATTAAGATTTATTTAGCAATTATAATTGCTATCTGACAGACTGGACACTATTGGATATTGATTATTGTAAAATTCTCAGTTGTTGTTCTTATCAGCGAAGCCTTTTCACCACTTTATTGAGAGATGTTTTTACACTGAATTTTAAAAATGACTTATAAAACACTAGTACTAACAAAAAAAATATTGTTTTCATTTGTTTAGATGAACAAATATCCCTATCTGCTGCACTTCTTGCTAACACGAAAGCCCTTACATTCAAGTATTATTGATTTCTGAGTGAACTCTTTATCAAGATGTAAAACTAATAGTTTTATTTATATGCTGTCTGAATGAATAAGTATTTCTTTCAGTGATCTGATTTTCATATGAATTTTAGTTTTCAGTGACATGATTATTCATTTATCCAGTTATTGGTAAATCCTGTTTTGTAACTCCAAATAATTTTATCTGATGGGAGAAACAAGTTATCTAATGGGTCTCCAACTCTGGTACTTGCATTTTCTGAATTGGTGGCCCATTTGTGCTAAACCTGTCACTTTGTTACTAGATGCCTGCTGGCATACATGTGTGTAACTAGAACAATAGACAGCTCTTTCAGCTGGAATTCTGGCTCCTACACTTTAATTGACACTGACTGGAGAATTGTGACAGATCTGGTATAAATGGTAATGTTTAGTTTTTTCTCAGTGTCATATTGACCAAAGGAAATGCAGTCTATCTAGCTTGTGTCTCAGAAAGAGCAGTATGTTAAAAATGCTTGCTGTATAAAATGGGGTTAAATACTTTACATATTTTAGCTTATAGAAGTACAACATGAGCTCTGTTTACTGAAGTTTTGTGAACATAACTTGTGTTTATAAATCTCTTGCTTAATTCATTTTAAAATTTCATCTGAAAGGATCTGTGCTCAATAATTTAGTTAGTGTTGATTTACAATATGATGTAACATTTGGGCTTAGCAGAAGAAAGTCAAATAGGATATAAGGAGCTAAATTGAAAGATGTGACATAATTGGATGGAAACATATCAAAGTTTGGAAATGATAAATGTTCATACCGTTTAAAAATACATGCAAGAACACATGCTGTCTAGTATATTAGTGCATGGATGAATATATCAGTATATTTAAATTAATGTCTTGTTTGAAAGCACATAGTAATGTGATGCCACATACAAACTTCAGAAAATTACACAGTAGTAAACACTAATATTACTTTGACACTTTCTTATAGTGTCTTTATACTGTTAAAGTTTTTAAAAAACTATTTTTCATATATAGAAATTGCTCTTTTTTTAATACAGAGAAGCTTCATACAATAATTTTACAAGAAACCCTCCATATGGCACCGTTTAGAGGAAAATCCTTTTGTCTCACAAAAGCTCTTGCAAGGACAATTATCATACAGTTGTTTGACATTAGTTTCAGTTTGTGAGATAGAAAAGGCAGTTAGAGGGTAACAAGGGATTTTAAAAAGCCTTTCTATGAAATACTTTTTAAAAAATTATTGAAAAGACAGCACTAAGTTAAAATTCTTCATCAGCTATGAGGCATTAATCTTTTTTTAGCGAAAGAATCTATTAATATAGCTGCTTCTTGTTCTAAAGAGGGAGGTCTAAAGGACTTCCAACTGAATGACTGAGAGGGAGGGGATTTAGGACTGACAGGTGGTTCGAGACATACTGGCTGAGTCTCAGTTAACTTCTAATATACTATGTGTGGGTATTCATGGTCTTTTCTTTTCCATCCTGTGTACATAATTCTCTTGTTAGCGATATAACTACAGAATACTTTTAGCTATGGCAATACGAAATGATTTTAGCAAAACCATCAGAAGGATAGCATGTCTTTTTTATTGGTTCCCAAAATCACTAAGCAGCTCAAGAAGAAGGAAATTCAAGCTTCTCTGGAAGTCTGCTGGTAAGTCTGCTGCTGTTCAACAATTTATTTTTTCTGTGCTAAAGAAGAGAAACTAAAGATGAAGGAATGTTTATTTTATTAAGAAAACTATTCCTGTATAGTATTCTTTGCTTTTTGGCATCCTGTGCAAAGTCCATATGGACACAACTGTAAAAATTATTTGGGGGTACATGTAGTGTATTGGTGGATTGCTTAGTTGCAGGATATTATTACCTCTTTATAATTAAATTTTATTAATTTCATTTTTATAATGTGTACTTTTCCTTTTCATGCAGCTAGGGATAATTCTGTGTGTCTCTTACATATGCGTACTTATGCGCCTAGTCGGGGACTTCTGAATCAAAGATCAATCAGTTCTTTTAAATTCTAACATCCATTCATTTAGTACTAAAATGTTGGAGTGCTAGGTAAGGAGAAAATTTTTGAGGACCATGACCCACTATGTAAAACTAGCCCGTCTTATAAAATGGAAAGCAAATTAGAAGAGGGCTTGGGTTTTGTAATGAGATACAGTCTTCAATTTCTGGGTACCACTTGAAATCCAGCCCAGCTCAACAGTGAGTGAATGTCATTTCATCTGAAGACTATGTAGTACAGTGGTCCCCAACCTTTTGAGGTTGTCGGGCGCCAGGGGGCGTGGCCGTTTGCCTGCCGGGCGCCAGGGGGCGGGGACACTAGCGCGCCCGGGGGCAGGCTCCCCCCTGGCCCCGCACCTGGGGGCAGGGCCCCCTC